GTCACATAATGTTTCTTAAATGAGCTCCAAAATGATATGTTATAAACCATATTTATATATAAAAGTGGGTAAAATGTGAGGAGACCCATATTGAGAGAAGGATCCGTTCCCGTGGACAAACAGGCTGTAGATCCAGGACTGAGGCTGTAGATCCAGGACTGAGGCTGTAGATCCAGGACTGAGGCTGTAGATCCAGGACTGAGGCTGTAGATCCAGGACTGAGGCTATAGATCCAGGACTGAGGCTGTAGATCCAGGACTGAGGCTGTAGATCCAGGACTGAGGCTGTAGATCCAGGACTGAGGCTATAGATCCAGGACTGAGGCTGTAGATCCAGGACTGAGGCTGTAGATCTAGGAATAAGGCTGTTCGCTCCAGGATTAGAAAACATAAAAAACATAAAAAAAACATAGCAAACACACACTTGAACTAACACAAATACAGTTTCTATCAAATATGAAAAACCTTCTATTCTGTGCATACACTTACTGCTCACACAATTGAAAACTGAAGCTATTATCAAACACTTATCAAACAATATTTCAAACACAAACAGCCGTAATCGAAATCGTTGATACCTATTTGTTTACCAAGTCATCCTCGAGGTTTGGTTTGGTTCGGGTGATTCAGCGGCGCACCTCAGCGGTGCTAATCAGTAGCAGGTGTTGTGAAAGGTGGCACCAGTGAAGTGTCAGATGTCCCTGCAGCGTGGAGCATGGAGCTGGTACTGGAGCAGCGTGGACAGGAGGACGTGGGAGGACTGACAGCACAGCAGAGGTGCAGGAGCGCATGGGGACAGAGCCCGGCCAGTACAGGCACTTGTTGATCGAGGGGTTACAGGTGCATTATGGGTAGGCTTTTCGAGTGGAGCGTCCTGTCTCTTGAAAATCACATGAGACAAGATGATGGTGGCGCAGCTTGTGTTTTACTGCAAGAAGGTCCTGGGTTTCGATTCCACCTCCAGGCCTTTCTGTGGGGAATTTGCATGTTCTCTGTGTGTCTGCGTAGGTTTCCTCCAGGTGCTCCGGTTTCCCCTACCACTAAAAACATGCACAATAGGTCTGAATGTAATGAGTTAATGAATGGGTGGTGTTGATTGGGGGCTTTGATGTGCCGTATGTGGAGAGAATGGGACAATATCTGAACTCTGAACATTGTAAAGTGCTTCGGGTGACCTTGGTTTGTAAAAATGTGCTATAAAAATAAGGATGACTTACTACTACTACTTACTCTATAAGTAGGTTTTCGAGTGGAGCTTTGTGTCTTTTGAAAATCACATGGCTTGCAGACAGGATCAACAGTGTATGTAAATGTGCCTACGGAAATGGTTTTACGCATTGTTCAAGTTTTATACTTTTTATTTGACTGTTTAGGCCTAGACTGACAAAGTTGTTCCTTGCTGATGCAGGACGGTCCAAGGACAGTGGTGATGATCCGGGAATTTTAAGGAAATGTATGGATATTTATCAACCTTCATAAAGATTGGTCACTCGCCCCATCTTATCCCATGTGTTTGATACGAATGCATTTCCTGTTTGAACTGTTTCATTCTCTGATCTACAGTATGTTGGTTTAGAGTCCTCCGAGACAACTACTGTTGTGATTTTGAGCTGTACAAAAACAGATTGAATTGAAAGTTCTGGGGCAGGATTTTCACTTCTCCTCCTCTAATTTTACCCATTACAGTACATATTTAAGGCACCATGTTTTGCTTACTCATAAAAAAGTGATTGATGTCTATAACTGATTAATGAAATGGTAACTGCGTAAAGAGAAAATAATTGCCCATCCCTGGTCATGAGTAAGATTATACTGTATGTTGTTATGAAATCTATGAACATTTACTATTTTGGGGGAAACACACAAATCCTTCACGCAGTACAGCACAGAAACAAGAGTGTTAAAAAGATAATTCCATCTGGGCGGCACAGCAGTTAGTGCTTGTGCTTCAAAGCAACAAAGTCCTGGGTTTGATTCTTGGTTGTGGCCTCTGTGAGGAGTTTGCACGTTCTCCCCATATCTGCTAAAGTCTTGCTCGGTATTGTCTGGTTTCTCCTTCCACTGTAAACATGTACAGTGAGTCTGAATGTAGTGAGTGAATGATGATGTTCAGAGGGTCCGCCTGGTGTTTTGTGCTTCTGTTCTGGCGTGAATAGAAATGACCCCAAAATGTAAAATTAAATGCATATTGTGTGCATGTATATATTAGAATTTCATTCAAAAACAATTTTTCATTCCTTTATGTCTATTCTTTCTGTTTATTACTTGTTTACAAAAGCAGTTTCTTAGTTTGTGACTTTCTGTTACTTACACAAAGGCAATTAAAACAATTCTGATTCTAAGTTTGTAATGAAGCCCAGTGCATGACTTGAAGCCGTCACACATCGGTTATGTGAATGCTTAACCCGCTGCACCACTTCTGCCCCATTATTTCAGATTGAATAAATCAGAAATTGCACAGTAGCCGTATCCAAACACACATTCAAGCATTCTAGAGTTAAAGCTCAGTCAAGCAAAAACCGAGTGACCGGACACGACCAGCCTTTTGCCCGGCTCTAATTGAGTTTTTGAGGTTATATATGTATTTAAATGGTGGCGTTTATGTATTTAAAGACATGCAGTGTGCGATGACATCTCTCCCTGCTTGTTTAGTGTTGAGTTGTGCGCCTGCAGAGGAGAGCTGCCAGTCACAGTTATGCACAATGCGTTTAATTGTGTGCTCATTTAGTGTTTGCAGAGCGGACATCTGTGCTGCAGCAGCTGGAAGGACTGAAACATGCCTAAGTACCTGCAATGTTTTCAAATGTCCAAGCTCTAATAGGAAGTTTCTCTATCACAATGACACTATTTACTTGGAAGCAGCCTTGTTTATCTCTGCCACATTCTCTCATTTTAAAGTTCGCCCACGTGCGTCCTTGTTTGCGCGACTAAGCAATTGAATTTGGTTTTGTAAAGACTCGCTGCTTAGCAAATATGTGTATGAGCTGGAGGTTCTTTGTGCAATATGTTATTATGTTTATTGGTTTGTTGAATATATTTTATTACAGCAACTGCACTGCTTCATAAGTAACTAAGTACAGAAGTAATCTTTATTTATTGAGCGCCTCTTACTGAGATTTGCTTACTGAAATGACAGTAAGCTATTTTTTATTTTTTATTATCTCTTTCTGACTTTTGCACTGAGCCAAAGCAATTTCCAAGTCTGTGACTTCCTGTTACTTACGTGGCAATAAAAATGATTCTGATTCTGATTCTGTAAAAACACATTTAAACACACACAAAATCATATTAGAAAAATACATTAAAAACACACAAGATTATATTAATAAAATACATTAAAACACAAATTCATATAAATAAAAAACATAAAAAGGCTAAATACAATATATACTGCAGGTCACAAAAAAGCAAGGTTTTAAGGCGGCCAGCCAACCACTCACTGTATTTGCTTGTGTATATCAGCTGAAGCCAAATAATGACAAACATAGAAGGAAAATCTGGCGTGAATATTGAGATATGAAATGTTATCCATATCGTTCAGCTCTAATACAAGAGGCAGACTCATTTATATAATTCCTCTTCCTCTAAGTCCAGTTGTATAAGTTCTTCTATCTGAATAGTAGCAATACTTTCCAACGTGTGCCTCACCATATCTTCTGTCTGGGTCTTACCGCTTCCAGTCTTTGAAAAAATCACGAGAAACGTCTGTTATACAAAAGCAATAACCTGCAAGGGCCAAGAGGTTGATAAAAGCCATTAAAAAAAAAAAAAAAAAAAGTCCATATCACATCTTTGCTGCAGAGGTAAATAACTGGAGCACACAGACAGCGGGTGACTGACGTGTGCGGATTACCCCAGGGTGGCTCTGTAGTCGAGTGTAGGTGCGCTGAAGGCCCACTTCGAAGATTAGGGCTGAGAGCGTTGCACCCGCAGCTTCTGAAGCCGCTCCAGAACGCCCCGAGTGCAGAGATGTGGTGTGGCAGGTCTGCTGACTGGTCACTGCTCCAGATCCGCCTGTCCAATTAGCAGCGTGTCCTACCCCTGAGAACTGGTCCCCTTTCTGCCTGACTTAGCGCAGCACATGTGGGCCAGGGAAACTGCGAGTCTCTCTAGTACACACATACGACATACAGTAGTGTTGTTTTTCCTGAATCCTGAATAGACGTGTATATATACCTGTGGAATTGGATAGATGTCATTGATGGATCTGGTTTGCCACTTGCCTGAGTGTACAGGATATCATTATGTAATGTGACCTGAAGGGCTGTTGCTTGGTATTACTAGAGGATGATTGTTATTACCATGATCCATTGTTTTTATGCTACTGGACACCTGAATTTTTCCTACGCAGGATCAATAAAGTATCTATCTATCTATCTATCTATCTATCCATATAAATACATTATGTACATAGTAACAAGTATGTGTATATGTGATCAGATCCTATTTTGTTTATCATGTTTTCCTGTAGACCTGTGTGGGTGGGTGTGCATCTGTGTGTGTGTATCTGTGTGTGTGTAGGTGTAGGTGTGTATCAGAATCAGAATTATTACAGGAAGTCGCAAACTAGGAAATTGCTTTGGCTCCTGGTGTCATAAATGTCAAAATAGATATACAACATGCATTAAAAAAAATTATTACAATTAATGCCATCTACAAGTTAAAATTACTACTACATTCAAGTGCACTACTTATATGTGCGTGGATGTATGTGTGTATTTTTTTAAGTTTTGTTTGTTGAAAATAAAAATGAATGAAAAACATACATTCATACATGTAACAATTTCCATCTGTCCCATCAGATTTATCAAAACACATTGTGGCTTATGCCTGTAGTTTTTTTTAAATTGTATTTGTGATCATTTGAATTCAATCAAAGAAAAGAGGGAATATTTTTAGGGAGAAAGAGAGCAGGTCTTGTAGTGTGCAGTACTGTGGACTGTAGACGGGCACAAAGGAGCATGTATGACTTGAGAGATAAATGAAATCTGTCTTCCGTGCATGGAGTGCGTTGCCGCCCTGCTCGGCTCGCCACAAGTGGGCCCTGAGCGCCTCCGTAAGCCTCTGTACATCGACGCTAAAGCCTTCCGCTGTGCTCCGAGTGCGCATCATTTCAAAGTATTTTTTTGTCTCTATTTTTCTTCTGGCGTCCCTGTTTAACCCTGATACGAGGTGGTCTTTGTAGTTGTTCTTCAGTTTGAGCACTCTCATTTACACTATCGCTGTCACAATAGATTCCATGCATCTCCCAGCTCTGTTATTTGAATATAAGAAACTAGGCAGCAAAATTACCATTCACTTTTAATCGATTCAGCGGGATACAGAGCAACTTTGGTGACTCTGGGTTTGAAGAGTTTTTTAATCCTTAACACAGCAGATCACTGTATAGTCATGTTAAATATTGCTATTAAGAATCAGCTTCCATGTATCCCTCTGCCTCTGAATGCACAACTACCAGAGAAATGTAAGAATGTGTTTTCTTTAACCGGATAGATGCATTTCTCTCGAGAGCTTTGATCGTTTTATATGGCGTGTTAGTCTTTAGTGGCTTTCTGCCCAGCTGCACCGAGAAAGATTTTTATATCGCCGTTAATACTATTGGACAGAGAGCATGTCCTGGTTTCTTCCACTACCGCTTTAACAAAATGCTTGTAATATTTACTAAAAACGCTGAGTTGGAGTCCGTTTGAACGTGGCCTGGGGCTGATGGTTTTGACCCCTCTGGGCTGTCCAGAACGACATGGATCTCTTGACCTTCTCTCGGAACGCCAGGAGAAAATCCCAGATCACGGGCCCTTCAAACATCATCCGTCAGAGAGCCACTTGGAGCCACGCAGGCTCTGTATATGCCCTTATCTACAGCCCAGCAGCGGCTTGTGTTTATAACCATTGCTCCCATTGCTGATATTGCTAATGGACTTTCATATTGACCTCTGAATATGGCAGAGCTCTGTATATACTCTATTCTATTTTTAAGCACCTATGAATAGATACTCATCTTGCAGGAGCTCTGTCACGCACAGAGGACCTTTGCTTTCAAACAACCAGATGTATCGGTGCAGAAGAGAGTAAAGAAAGAATACCAGAATACAATCACTCATTAAACGTGTGAGAACTTTATTACGAAAGCGTAGAGTGCGTTTTTTGTGAGTGCGACTGTGGAGCAAAGGATGCAAATTAGCTCATGCCTTATCTCAATCAAATACAGATGAGAATAGATAAACTTTATTGATCTCACATTGGAGACATTTACATTCAATCATACATTCATTCATGAATTCAACACCTATGGTCCATTTCTCGGTCGGGGGTTGGTAATTCTCAAAAAATATGACATAAATATAAAATACATAAAGCAACAGAAAAAGTCACAAAGTTAGTTTCTGGGAACAGCAGGTGCCACAGTGGGGCGGCTGCGGCTGTTAATGCCAAACTGTAAGATTCAGAATCAGAATCATTTTTATTGCCGTGTAAGTAGCAGGAAGTCAACGACTAGGAAATTGCTTTGGCTCGGTGCAACAGTCAGAAAAGAGAGGTATAAAATAGAGAATAGAGGAAGGCATAATAAAAATCAGAATATACTTCTAAGGTATAAAAAGGTCGTTGTATCCTTTGGGAAAACACTTCACCCACATTGCCTAGAATTAGTCTTGTGTGTGCGTGAATGGTTGATGGTGGTCGGAGTGGCCCCAGGGCAGCTGTGGCTACAGTAGTAGTTTATCATCACTGTGTTTGGTTTGAAACAATAATGACAAGTGAAGCGTCTTAGAGTGTCCTGAAAAGCGCCAGATAAAACCAATGTATTATTATTATTGGTAGCAGTTGTAGTATTTACACTTCCAGAACTTAAAGCCGTCATATTGACCGCTCTGGAAGTTCTGCTGTTAAAGATTGTATTTTTAATTCAGGCTATAATTCACACATTAAAACAGGGACTCCTTGTATGGTTGATGACTATTACTTGATTATTTCAGTTCAATTAACCAATACAAACAACAATTAGCCAGTGTTCGTTGATGCATTGAAGTAGACGTTCTGTTCTCTCGTGATGCTGCTTAGGATTCATAAGCCAGGAGCACCCATTACGCTGATTGTATCTGTTGCTTCACCGTGTTAGCTGGATCATTCAGGTTGTCTGGGGGCTGTCGATGTTGTCTGGAGATAACAGCGTGGTTACGATGTTTAGGATACTAAGCGTTCAAAGTGGAGGCCGTTGGTGCGGGTTGGCTAATAGTCAACAAGAGAGAGAGATGGCTTTAATTCCCAGTGGTGTCCTTTCAACAAATGACTTCTACCCGGCTGTAATGGAAGTTGAATGCAGTGCACTGGTGGCCGTGTGTGTATTGGAAAGAGTTTTATTGCAAAACGGAGGAGCTGCAGGTTTCTAATTTGAGTCCGGCTAAAGAGAAATGGTGAAAAGAGCAGCGTGGAGAGGTGGAGGAAAGGTTGGAACAGTGTAGAAGCAGGTCTGAAGGCAAAGTGATCCAGGTCATTGGAGAAAACTCTGAAAAGAATAAGGATGGAGAAGAGCCACAGCGGCACTGGGGGATTATTGCAAGAAGAGCTGTAAAATACAAGGCTTAAAACTGCAATGAACGCTGCTTAAAATACACTATAAATAGAAAGGGTCTGAGAATATGCCTTTTTTATTAAAGCTTTGACTACAGCTCATAGCACCAATAAATATGTCACGTTTTTTGGGGGGAATTGCAGCGATCAAGCTGATGAATAAAGCTCGGGATCCCGTCAGACCTCAGACCTCTGTAGCTAAGCAGGGTAGGGCCTGGTTAGAACTGTGATGAGAGACCTCTGGCAATACCAGGTGCCGCAGTGGGGTTGTGTCCATTGTGCACTGCCCCAATTGCAATAAATAAAATGTATAAACCTGAGGAAAAAAAGGACTTTTTAAGCTTCAGGCTGAGAGCTGATTGGCTGAGTGAAGGTGGTCCAAGTGAAAAAGAGGAGGCGAGAAACACATTCACATGAGAAGTAGTGATATAACTGTTTTAGAACCAGGAACTAATTATTGGATGTATTGTATTACTAAGATCTATTGTTGTGGCTTGACAGTGAAGTTCCCCAGTTTTCTTGTATTTGTTAAGAAAACAAATGATGTGTCATTGATATGTTGGCAAACCAGTCCAGTGACCAAAGTGTCAGGCTTGTACAAATGTGGCCCAAAAAACAGACCCAAAGTCAAAAGGTGGTTTAGGAGTTTCAAAAGAATTAATGCAAAAATCACAAAACAAAAGATAGATGCAAGAACTGGAGGAAACCATAGACTGTATAATTTACGCACGTAGTCACGCCTATCTCCGCCGTTCTACCTAATGGGCCAACAATTGGGCTTTCATGGAGCGATTCAAAATGGCTGCGGGGGATGGAAAATGTGAAAAAACGCATCTGCGCATGCGTCAGCCGGCACGAGCTCCATTCATTTAAACGAGTGACTTCAAAAAGAGCCAACTTTTGGACCATCCTGTAAAGACGTTGTCGAGAGGTCTGCTAATGCTATAAGAAGAAGAAGGTCCTATATGTTAGCATTGGCTAATTCTCATTCCGGGTCCACCCCCATCGGCCCGGGGTGGTATTGCAAGCATGTCAGCGCACGTCACTTTGGCCACTTATGACCCGGGACCTGCCCCCACCGGAGGAAACAAGACAATCCAAGAGATGGAGCTGGGAGCACACAAACTAAATACACAAGGAGACAGTTGAGACAGATCAAGGGTGGGGCAGTAATCAGGGACAGGAAGTAAAACAAGGACAAACAAAGGTGATTTCAAAATAAAACACAACAGGACAGGATATGACACAAAGCAGGTCCAAATCCCACTGTAGCTGTAGTCATATTTCATGTTATAAAAGGGAGTATTGTTGGTCTATAGAGCTATGTGAGTGGAAAAAGGGCAGATTTTGCATTCCTTTAACGAATTCCAAAATAATTGTGTCTGTGAAACTCTGTGTGACTCACTCTGACCCCTTTTTTCCCTTTAACACTTTTTATACAGCCCTAATCAGCGAAGCCCCAGGTGCTACACAGACTTAAAAGTTGAGGGTAGACTGTGAAATACAATGAGGCCTTTGTTGTGTTTTTTTATGGAAGAAGTAAGTTTACCTGAGCCCACCTGTTCCCAGTGGGGAGATCCAGTCAGAGTGAGAATAAAGCAAAGTTGTGAGGGAGGAGAGAGATGAAAAGACCAGTTGTGGCAAGCCCCAGAAAACAAATGAGACCGAGCAGCAGGCAAACAAGCGCTGGAGCCGATCAAGCTTGTATTTGACAGTCGGCAGCGCCTCAATCCGTGCACTATTTATCGCCGTACATTAGGAAAAGCTGTTAAAATGAAACCACACATCGGAATACATTAGCATTTTTTCCCACTGTGCGAATATCAATGGGATTGTATATCTCTGCCCCTGAAGTGGAAGCCATTGAATTGAATTGAACTGTGCAAACTAAAAAAAAAAAACGCAGGCAGCTCATCAGGATAGATCCGCTTATTGTCGGAGAAGCAGCGCTGAAAAGGTGCAAATCTCTCTCGCTATTCAGACCATACAAAACAAACCAATAGGTGATTCTTTTTTTTTTTTTATAACTCGCGCACAAAGCGGTCTCTATCACCCGCCATATACCGATACCCATTAATCATGAGCTCTCTTGTATTGTCAGCTCAGTATATAGCCCCCCCCCCTTCTTTTTACTTCTCCATTCTTCCCTCTCCCCAGCCACTTCCCTCCTCCCATTTTCAGCCTGTCACTTAACAAGCTCTGGCACCATGACAGTGACGTGTGGGTCCCACTGACGGATCCCAGGCTATGGTCTGTATTGAAAAGGTATTGAAATGCACAGATTGTAGCCTCAAGATTGTATTTGGGGAAACATTTTATGACACAATGGAAAATAAAAGGCAATCTGTTCAGTTAGAGCAGGGGTGCCCAAACTTTTTTACTAAGAGGGCTGCTTTTGTTTGCCAGAGCAGTTCAGGGGCTGACACGGATTGTAAAACTATTTTGACCAGAATTGGCCTATTGTGAGAGGCATAACGAGGAATAACATGAGTATTTATATGCAACATTTGAGGTTTGCTGAATAACTTACTTTTGCACCAGCAACATCAGAGCCATATAAATGTTTGTGCCCCAATGAAAAACAGATAGCATCAGTGCATACTGTACAAATAAATAGATTTTTTTCTTCTTTTTTCTTGTATATTCTACACAGACTATATTTTTAACCTTAAACATTTTTGCACACTTCTGTCTTTTGCACAATCTGAGTGATTCTATCTATGCCAAATGTGACATGTACATTTCTCCAATGTGAGATCAGTAAAGTCCATGTTATCTTCAAAGGTTCAGAGCTTTACATTGAGGTATTACAGGCCTGTATTGGAGAAGTGTGGAAGTTGGTTGAATAACTCTATGAACTTGTGTTTTAACCTTAAAAAGGGGTGGGACTAAATACGTTTATACCTTCATCCACTCCTTTTCAAACATGTGCTTCAAATGTATATGAATTTGCATTTTGTCTGTAGCTACTGTACATGTTTGAAATAAATAAATAAATTCAAAATGACAAAAAACTCAATGGTATTTTGGGTTGAGCGAGGCACAGGGCCACACAGAATGACAATCGCGGGCCGCAATTGGCTCTCGGGCCTTAGTTTGGACGAGTTTGCAAGAGTGTTTGGGTCTTGCCTCTCAGCTGACCATAACATTTAACATTGCATGCGATGACTTAAACATGCTGCGATGCTATTTTGGTGCTAATGTGTGTGTGGAAAGTGAAAAGTGATGAGTGGATGTTTTGTCTTGTGTCCACACAGGCTCAGTGACCCTCAGTGTGTTCCTGGTCTCGTTAGCCCTGACCGTGTGTGCGGTGTGGCTGGTGGCGCTCTGTGGCGTCTGCGGCTGGTGTCAACGCAAACTGGTGAGTGCACACAAACAAACAGACAGAGTGGAGTCCCGAGATGATGGACGACAAACAAACATGCTAATGCAAAGCCTGGCTTACACTGCAAAAAGTGACACAGCTACGTTTGCTTGAATTAGGCTGGATTTATTTGAATTTGAGTGTGTTTTTGACTGCCTTACAACAAGATTTGCCAATGAGACCTCTCTTGAAGATTGGAAAGTGAATGGGAATAAGAATTACCTGCTTGTTCCAGTGGTAAATAGTGTTTTAAGACAGTCCAAATGTATTAAATTCAAGATAAAAAAACACCTGATTCAAGCATTTATTCCCTTAGAGTCTATATTTTTGCAGAGTATTCATGCATTGTTGGCAGTATTATTGAAAATGCCTTGAAAGGCCCAGTATAATGAAGTATAATGTTCTGCTGATGACATATTTTAAGCATGTGAAGTTTTTTTAACCAAATATTTCAATCTAATATGATTTTTGTGTGTGATTCGTGCATGTTTGTGAAGACTGCATTACACTTCTTCTCTTCGTCCTGTCCATTAAGTTGTGACCTGAAAACATGTCTGCCTCAGGCCAATGCTTGCTTCAGAAATGCTCAGTAGTTTTTTAAAAATCCAAACGTAAAACTACACAACCCCAAATCTTCATGTTGTAAAATGATCTCAGCTCAACAGTTTTGACTAAGGATTTTCTAACGTTTAGATCAACTGCTGCTGTTTAGGTGGTGACCATATTGTGTAACTTTAAAAAATAGACTCATGTTAATAGTCTGGGCGTCTCTGCTTAGACCCCCCAACCCCCCCCCCGTCCTGACAATGGATGAAGCGGAAGAAAATGGATGGATGGATGATATAAATAGATTATTATTTTTGTTTTTAAGGAATTGATAAAAAAAAGCAATAGTGCCTCTCCACAAACCTGACACTAATACTTGTACTAATCCTGCAGAGTTGCCTCCTTCTGATTTTTCCATGGAAATACTGTTCCTTTGCCTATAATCTTCCACTTACAGAGAATGTTTCCAAATATGGCTTTAATGTTGTATCCCCGTGGTTACATGGTGATGCTTTATGTTTAATGCTAAAGCAGAGAAACACAGAATCCAGCTTCGTCCCCTGAAAGTGAAGCTATACTCTGTGAAGCTTCTCGTTTAGATAAGGCTTTTTCTCTCTATTTTTGAGTTATAATTCCGGCCTTATCTTCATGGAGCCATTTTGCTCTGATAGCACATTAATTTAACCCATCTATCAGAGAGCCACTGGGGAACCCTATTACCAGCAGTGAGACTATCCACACAAACTGAGAGATTTATCCCTGTGTTAAGGCCCTGTACCTTTCCATCATCCCAAACCCGGTCCGGACAGAGAGGCTTTCATGCTGTGTGGCAATAGGAGTAATCCCTGTGCTACTGTGCGGTGACTGGATTAGACACTATCAAAGGGAAATAAGAGCCATGATTAACTGGTGTATTTCTGCACTTTGAATATTGTTATTGAGCATTATTATTATTACGATGTTATTAGCACTATTTCTTTTAATGAATTACAACATTTGCTTTGATTACAACACGTTATCTCTGCCTTCGGTTTTTAAAAGCAGTGACATTCAATACAATTGTTTGATCATTGTGTAAATGCAGAAACACTTAAAAAACTGCATGATCACACATTAGCACATTGGACTAATAAATACCCAGGGACAGAACCATAAAAGTGTGTTATTTGTGGAAAGAAAGATTCATTTTTTACATATAGTTTTACATTATGAAGGTATTTTGACAATAGGATTACTTTTGTTTAAAGAAAAGAGTTTTGAGTTTATTATCTGTTAGATTTTTCAAAAGTATATGAGTTCCCTTAGTGTTTGTTAAAACAGTTTAACCAAAACTGGGTCAATTATTATTATTATTATTATTTTATTTTTTTTCATTTTCATCCCTTTATTATCCATTTCTGGGTCAGGGGGGTAATCAGAGCTGCCACCCAATTCACAATGCACCTGTGATTGTGCAATTATTTATCTAATCAATCAAACTATGAGTATATGTTGGGTTCAAATGTTAAAATAAATTATGATATGATTGAGAACATTCATTTTAAAAGGAGCTAGAACATGACCTGACATTTATATTAACATAACATTGCCATCAATAGCACAAGTTAATCAAAATCATTGAAAATCAGATCAGGGGCCACTAGAATTGGTCCCAAAAACCGGATTTGTCCCTTGGGCTTTGTGTTTGTCAAATGCGCATTACCAGATATTACGCCAGAAAAGAAAATGTAGTTTTTTTCTAAATTTGATTTATGGTCTTGCTCTCACTCCTCAAATCCTCATCTTTAAACTCCCATTATAAGTTACACTCTTACTGCCATTTCTACAGCGCTATCTTGTCTATTAGCATCAGAACAATGTATTAATGAAGACGTATGAGGGCTCTGTATAGACTTGTGTCCAGAGCCGGACTCATTCCTTCACAGCAGAACCGGCTGGAACATTACAGTGCCGTTATAGTGCTAGTACAAGTGCATTCATTGAGGAGGAACGGAGCACAAAGCCGCCGGCCTGACCTCCTCCAGAAGGGCATGTCGTCGCGATTATGTGCTATGAAATGTGATTGATTAAAGGGAGGCACCCAGTCATTAGGCAGACAGTGCAGAGCGGCCCAGTCCCACTCCACTCCAACGACCGCTCCCCATTTACATGACTTTAAAGATAATTGATTGTGATTCATCTCGAGCTTGTAAGAACACCAGTCACCTATTTCAAGTCGATATCAGCAGTAACATCAAGTCTTTGTGGTGTCTGAAGCTTTGAAAGTCACGAGCAGAAATGAGGGGAGGTGCTCATGGTTGTGCTTTTGATAGTTATACCGTAACAAGTAGGGCTAATAGCTTCAGATGAGATCAATACTCTGGTGAAAGGGGAAAGGTGGAATACACAATGAAACAATTACAATGCGGAAAACCTGTTGGATTGACCATCTGTGTGTCTGTTAGAGCAGCTCCAGGAATACACACGTGTTTGCAGAAAAATACACATCATTTACGCAGGTCAAAGTACACAATATTATTAATGGTGTCTATAATGTTTCTCTTGATTTATTCAGTGGAAGCTTTACTCTAAGCTCCATTTGTTTTCCCTCCATCCTTCTGCACCATATTCTGCACCTGCTTTACACTATATTTATACATATACAGTTTGGATTATTATTAAATAATTATTATTATTAAATAATTATGTCACTGAATTATAGTTTGATTGGCATTACATGCTTGTATAAAACAGATATTATATTGTTCTTATCTTGTTTTATTTTCTTGTTTTATTTTGTGGAACATTTTAGGCAATAAATCACTGTAATTTTCTGGTTCAAACTATGGCTGGCTGTTTCTTTCTAACACATTTGTGAACTTACTAGAGTTTATGAAGTCCATCTGTAGTTTCATTCCATTACTGTTTCTTGAGGTGCAGATGGTGAGATCCTGCATGGCACCATATGGGCCGACACGTGCGTTAGCTAAAGATTACTCATACATTTAGTCAGCGACACCATTCCAACATGTATACACTAAAGCAGGTGGTAATGATCTGTATCAGCAAAGCACCACAGCACAGACCTGTGTATTGTTTGCCTCCCTGGAACATCCTGTTGTATTTGATATTCCACTTTAAACTAAATGGAGCGGTGAATGCCTGAGCTTCCTGCTGTGGGTGGAGGTAGTTTCAGCACCTTGGAGAGCTCCCCTAGGTCTCCTCCGCTGTAAATGGATCGTACTTCCATCTAGTGACAAGAACAGGCAGCCTACACTGGAGCCGGAGTGGCATCTGCTGGCCTTTTGGCCTTCTACAAGTCAATCTCTCCTACGCATATTTGAAATGAAGATTTGGCGTCACTCATCCTCGTGCTGGTAGGGGGGAGTGCGGCATGTCATTAAGATGTTAATTTGAGCTTTTGAAGTCTTTAGAGCACTTACTTTGGGAAAATGACACTCGCCCACTGGTGTGAGAGCACATTAAATACTGACACTTAATGCACAAATAAGCACATGTGGCAGAGATAAAGACAAGTGGTCTGCTAATATCATTAAGCGTTTGCCAACTTTAATGGCGAGTTTCCAGATGTAGAAGCAGTATTTTATGAGTTCTTCCGTGTGAAATGTCTGGATCATATTCAAAAAACCTCTACAGACTTATATTTATCAAACCTTGAGAGAAATTATGCAAATAAAGACTTGGCAAGGAATAATTCAAAATCCACCCAGTGCTTTCTACTGGTGCTGCGCTAACATACTTGTTTAATGTCATTCGTTTTATTTCAAACTACAAGCACCTTTCCACAGATCTGACCTATAACTGGGTCTGGTGGCATTGCCTCATTATCTCCCTTACTGCTCTATACTGAAAGCTATGTTTGATGCCATATCATCAAAGGTTGGGCTTTTTTTCACCATACATTTTAGTTTACTATTTACTACAAAGCTTCTTCAATGGCCTCGCAGCAAAAACACATGAAGAAAAGGGATTGGAAATCAATACCATATCAGATGCAGCGAGTGTACGAAGATGAAACAATAATTAGATGAAAGCTCTGCAAGTTATTTATTATTTGCTATGTGTATTTAGAGACCACTCAGCAGGTTGTTTTGACACGTATCAGCTTGTCACCACTGGTAACACAGAAACTTGAGGAGACCTGTATTCTTAAAATTGCGTAAAAAATGGAACTATAGAGACACCAGGGAAAGAGAAGTGAGTGACAGTCTGGTATCATCCCTTGTGTGACTTGTGCCTAGTTATGTTTAGTTTCATAGCCCTCACTAAAAAAAAAAATACCATAAAAACAACAATTTGATCAAAAACTCCCAGATTTTTTGGTTAATGTGAAATGCCGTTATAGGTAAATTCATAGACGAATTACTCAGATTACTGCAGAATATAGACAAAAACTCATCAAATACATATGGATGACCAATGTCCACAAATGTTGATGAAGTCTATAAATG